AGAGATCGGTTATCTAATCGAGGTTCCTCGTGATTTACTTAAGTCCCTCAAAGTGATTCTGGTTTGCGTTAATAGAATGCCGAAACTGCGTCCTTCGCCGCCCTCCAATATTATTTCAAGAAAAATAAAAGTAACCACTTGATAATTCTCACGAAAATAATTCAGTAACAAAAAATTATGATTCAAATAGTAATCAGCGCCGTTGTACCACACTTTTATAACAAAAATAAAAAAGTACCCCTGATGAAACGTCGGAACAGCTCAGTTTGAAGAAATAAAACGTCTTTTTATTGAACCGCCTTTATTTTAATTGCACTCTGTATAAAAGGAATAAATACGTAAATTATTTAAGTCAGCAATTTAAATTGTCAACCAGTGGCGGATTTAAGACGTGGTGACGGGGGCAGCTGCCTAACGTACACATCGAAAGGGAGAGCATCGACCACATTAAAGAAAAATATTCGAACTACAAAAAATATTCATCGTTAAAGATTGTCAGTGCAAAACGGACTGAGAATTGAAACCGAAGCTCTTTCTTCGCTAGAAAATATGCCATGCATTTTATCACATCCTGTTTCTTGCTTTTGCAAAAATTTGTTCCGGGCGTAAATGTGGTGACCCCAATTTCTGCCCTCTAACTTTATATTTACAAACACACGTTGCTGTTCCGGGCGTAAATGTGGTGACCCCAGTTTCTGCCCTCTAACTTTATATTTACAGACATACGTTGCAATTTTCTCCTGTAATAGTTAAATGTATGTTTTCAAACCACACGACTAACAATCCAGCAGTTTTACTGGCCTCATGAACCCCAATTTGGAAACAGCTGCTTCACGATATTTTGCTTGGCTTTACGTGCGGTTTGTCGGCGACGTCTTCAGAAATAGCACACCGCATCTCGTCAGTTCAGGGATCGATTTTCCTCGCTGAGGGTCTGGCCTGTCTCCAAGAACAACACCAATAAGAGAGGCAATGGTTCCTCTCACAGCGCTAATTGGGCATCCCGAGACAGCCGCAATTTTGTATGATGTCTCCTCATCATATACACAAGTCTGTCTAAATTATTCAACGTAGCGTCTATTTGACTTGACACAATGATTCTTACACGACTTGTTTGACTTCTGTTTCAGAAAGCGCTTAAGTGTAAATAAACGTCGCATCCATATGTAAAGATTTCGCTTCATATCCGCAAATTAAAAACATTTTATCTATTACCACTATCGTTGTGTGAGATTTAAGGTTATAATGACGGCGAAGAAGAAGATGGCGTTCTTTTGAGTTGTTGCTTTCATTTTCAGGGTGATTTTCCTGATGATAACTAACTAACTAGATGGCTTACCGAACCCGAAGGTTCATCACCGATTTAACCAAAGCCCTCCACCGGACCCTCGTAGCTCCTAATAATTAAATAAAATTATTTTGTTGTAATAATAAGTTGTCTGACGACATGTCCATATGAACAGGATCCTTCCATCTTTTTCTCGGACTGGGACCTGTTCATATATGTTCTTGGCAGATGATCCAGAAGTGGTTTGCCATTGCCTTCTTCTGTGTGTGAATGGAGTAATTGTTGGGATGCCACGGAGGAAAACTCCGTGTTGCCTAGACCACGGCCTTGCTCCGAAAGGAGCGCGTTGCTCTAGTAATATATAATGTTTAATTAACGAGATCAAAATGCAACGCTCTGACGAAAACACACTACTGATGTCTCCGTCCTTCGAATATGTTATTTAATTAACGCCGAATATTCGTAATGATATAATAAGAATTGTTTCGGCTATTACTCTGTAGAATTTAAGCTGGAATATATAACCTTGAATGGTTTTTGCTTTCAGATTGCCTCTGGTTGCACATTCCGTCATGCGAAGAGAAAATTATTACACATCGTCTAATCGTTCGGAAGACTAAAACGTGTGTCCTTTGAAGTCCTCCTCTGCAAGAGCACGTTGCTAGGGGAGTGCCAGAAGGGCGCTACTTTACGTTCTTATTCCTTGAATCAAAGATAACATCAACCAAGATTTCCTCTGTAATTCTCATGTCTTCGGGTAGACCACAAATCCACAAACAAATATTTATCTTCGTGTTAAGACGTCCTTCTCCATTTGCTCTATCATTTCATCGCCTTTCCACGCCTTCTTACTTTATAAACAGTTTCCTTTTGAAAAGTTTGCCCATCATCTCAAGGCTCGAGTTCTGATTATCCTAAACGTTGGTTCGCATTGTGTGTTTTCAATAACTCCGAGGTCCCTAACCTGGCGGATTCTGCCGAGTAATGCTGCTCTTTTGTCATCAGTGTGGTGCCAACCTCTTCATCCAGACGGCAGGGAGCAGTCGTTTTTAGAAATATAATTTCTCACCCCTTCTTATACATGAGGCCTTTTATAATATACTCGTATAAACCGATATTCAGCAGTTACATACTGTATTATAATGTTATGGGCTCCGTATATCGCTTCTCGAACTTCCATCTTCATTCCTCTGCGGCAGGGATGTCCAACACAGAATTAAACCAGGGTTATCCCAACTGCAGTCCATAGGTATCATCCACCATACGAAAAATTCAAAAATGAAACTGCACTTAACTTGGTGTGATATTCAACAGCCTGCTACTTGTACTTATTCCGGGCCAGATTAACCCAATCCACAAATTCGTTTTAATTTCTTTAAGGTTCATTGGAATATTATTCCCTGTAACAACGTCTCCTAAAATGGTCTCTTCCTATCAGAAATCCGGGTTAACATTCTGTACGTATTTATCATCTCATGTTCCTCATTTCAATAACCCTAAGGTTATTTGGTGAATATTTTTAAAATATGTAGCTCTTCAGTATGTAATTTCTAGACGCTGGAACGGAATCCAGTTTTTTAAAATTCAAGAACAAAATGTGAATCATAATATGGCAACAGTACACAAGACCTGATTTTGTAAATACTGCCAGAGATACTGATCAACATTGACTAGTCTTGTAAATATATCGAGATCTTCCTCTTTACGAATCGATTGCTGTTCGCTCTTGCGGTTTCCCCCTGCACTTGAACAACGAACATACGAGTACACGCCAAACCAAACCTGCAACTTCCAGGAAAATTGTTTTATTTTATTGTTAGTAAGAGGGTAGAGTGGATGATAGGGGAGCCGTATTACTAACCCTCATATATAAGCGCAATAATGACAGAATTATACAACGCTGTATCACGCAAACACTTATAACGCGTCAGGTTCCGTGCAAGAGTGGCTGTAGTCCCCCACGTCTGTTTTGTGTATGCCTGAGTAAGAAGCTTGTGGTTTAGTATTTTTGTTTAATTGCCTGAATTTTATTCTGGGGAGGGAGACGGGAAGACTTTGTAGCAAAGAAGTATACTGTGTAAAAATTAAGGAAAGAATATGACACAAATACAAGATGAATTTCATAATAAAAATTAGAATTTAAGGTGTGTGTCTTGAATTCGTAAACGACCACGTGCATAAAAGATTTCACAGCAAAACAACCAATCATGTTGAAAGAATTTGTTGGAGTGCATAAAAGATTTCACAGCAAAACAACGAATCATGCTGAAGGAATTTGTTGGAATTGATTTGTGTTCTGTAATTTTTACGTCTGTTAAACTAATAATTAATCCGATTATTTGTGCATTCAAATCCCATTCTTATTATCCCTAACAGGCCAAGAATGTCATCTCAAGTGCAGCTTATCATCATAAAATATATAATAACTATATATTATTTTTACTCCGGGCAGCTCTATCAGTAACTGACTTGGACCTGGACGATCTGTTTTCGACACTGAACAGGTACAGGGTCACCAGTCTCCTATGTATCGAAAGTGCATGAAGCTGACCACTAGCTTCTGTCGAAAGCCGAGGTTAAAATGCGTGGAGCTATACATTCCCCACACCCCTCAAGCGGCTTCATTTTGTGGTACTTAACCACAATAATAATATAATAATTCTAATGGAGAAGTGTTGTGTACTGACTGAATTTTTAAATGTTATATAAACGAGGTTCGGCTTTAAATTTATTATGAAAATATTTCATATTTACTGTGAGAATCATAAGAAATCTATAAATAAATCTTTATCTTGATCTTGTATTAACATAGAAAAACAGGAAATATAATTTTAAGTTTCTACAACATTACTTTCGTTTCGAGTAATTCCATAATTTGCACAGTTGTATTATAACCAAGATAAATATAACGATAATGAGATATCTTGACCAGATGAGAGAGTGGCAAATACTCAAAATAACTTAGCTCCATTGAGATTTTCATTAGTTATCAGAGCGATTATTACTTAGCTAAAAGTACATATTACAATAACGTGTTATTCTCAAATATAAGGCTTCCTCGTTGGCATCAACGGGGATAGTAACATATAAATCACGGCGTTTAAATGGTATCCATTAGTAGAAATATCCTACCAGATTCCTCAATAAACCGTCAGTTGGTTCGAAGCGTTAGGGTGAGTACATATAACGGACCCTCACTTCGATGTTTCCCCTGATATGTCGGTAGGCCCACAACCTTCGTAACTGCTTTATTATTCGTAATGGTTTATAATATATCGACTATTTACTCGAAGATTTACAGTTGGTAAGAATTTTTCATTCGTATATTTTATTTTGAATGTTCCAGGATTAACTCAGTGTAAATCGCCTGTTCCGAAATTCCGAACAACACAAAAGTAAATTTCCTTTTAGTAAAAATTTAAGTATCTAACAAAGAATTTGAGATGACGACAGAGACAGTGACTTCAGTTGATCTGTGAATCTACAATTATGTTATAAAATGTAGTTATTGTCAATTACTGTGTAAAACTACAGCAAAAGAGGGAGGTTGCTGCTTCGTAACAAAATGTTTAAAACCTGTTGACCACCTTTCTTCAGAGCGAAAAATAACCATAAAGTTTATGCATTTGTATGAAAATATTCTAATGCAGTACTAGTCTCTGCACAGAGACTGGCTCTATTTAAGGGACCAAACAGAGTAGGTATCTCTTACCTGAAGACGGAGACAGAACCAGCCTCCGAAACGTCGTGACAACGGAAAAAGTCCTGAAAATAAATAATTTTAAATGCAATCTACCATCGTCAGAAGCCCTTAGAAATATTTAGGTCCACAAATTTGTTTCTGAATGTCAGAGCCACTGGATAAACAGTCCAAGAACATACGAAGAGATTTTTGGACAATTGAGGTCGAAATGGATTAAGAAGAAGTTCAATGTCATGACAGTTTGAAGATAATCTTCCCTCCCACGATGCAGCATCGTGATTATTCATGAGTCCCTCTTGCACAGAGACGCTCTGCAGGTGATGAGGTGCAGTAAAACGATTTACATTGCCGATGTAATCGTTCCTTATACCGCGACCCATCTTATTACACGCGCTGATCGGTTTATTAGCCGGATCCAGCAGGACCTCACAAGCGCCGTGACTTTCAGGTCACTGAAACCCGCATCTGGACGTGCGTGTCTGGCGGCCCACTCAGGGCGAACCCTGGACCACACCAAGAAAACTGTCCAAGGCGGTAGATTTATCACGCAGGCGCTGAATTTGTCTGTTGCTATCGACATCACGATAAAGTCATATGAAAGTATTCAAGAACATGTTAAACTATGTTATAATGATGTCGGCATCAAATATAGACATTTGTTGCTAAAAGTTCTCGCTTTGTGTCTCCTTATCTGTCATTTTCCTCCTATTGTATTTGTCAGTCACTTGAGCGTCAGTAGAAGAAACTATGTTTTGGCCCTGGCTCTACTTTAAGTAACGAACAGTACAATGCATTCGCTTAGAATAGAAAACCTCGATCAGGACAGTTCGAGAATCAAAAAGTTAAATTCGAGTCACACAAATTGCCGCTGAACCAGGCTGTTCCTTTAAAACTTATCACATATTTAAGTTTTTGTGTTTAAGGGTATCGTAAAAAAATGATATTGCATTAATATGATAAAATTAAAATTTCGGAGCCTCTCTAGGCCAGCAATGAAATTCACAGCGAAGTATCTACTGTGTAGTTACTCCATTGCGAGCAGCGATTTATGTCAAACCGTGCGCAGTGTAGATATCATGAGAAAACGCGGAGACGAGCGTGAGGTGTAGGATGCACGGAGTAGATTAGAAATTATTACCTTAAAAGTCCGAGGAAAGACAACACTTTGAAGTCCAAAACCTAGATATAAGGCAACATAATATTATAATGGGTCTTTTTGTAGGATACAGTCCGATGGCATGGTCCGGATTCAATTTGCTCAGCGCAAAATTCCATTTCGGGACACTTCTGAACACTGTAACACATCAAAATATTTTAAACCAGAGGAGATAGCTTTGACGAAGTTAACTACTACAAGCTTTTCATAAAGGACTCTGCTTCGTTTTGTTGACCTCTTTCCTTTTGGCATTGCCATCTCGAAGAACTAACTGGTTACATGGCTTCAGAATGCTACGAAGGGCCTTCCTCTGAGTCATGTCAGTGGCAGACCCGCGTCTGTTGACGGCATAACAAGATTCGTTTCATGTGGGAACAAGATGAGGAAGGTAAACAAACCTGGGTCAAATTTCATACTTCTTACCCACGGGGTGAAGGGCTGTGGTGAATTGTGTCACAGTAAAAGAAACCCCCGATTTACAGATGCAGCGTAGGTTTTTCTTATACCTGAAGGGTTTAAACCCAAAATAAGTCTAATTTTGTTTCATCTCCAGCGATCACTCGATGTGATTTCCAGACCCAGAAGTTAATTAGTCCAAAGATTCCCAACTTTTTAAGGGGATACCGACCTAAACCTCGACACTGGAAATAAATATGTGGTCAGGTTCACCCACCGACGGCTTTAACACCAAGAAAAATCCTCCGGAGCCAGCTGGAGATGCGGTGGGCTCCAGAGTTTGCCTGGATGTTGTACCAAAGAGAAATATTCTGCCCTAAACCCCAAAATTTACCAGAAGTCAAAATATCAGCTCATCCATTTTACACTAATACACTAACCAGATAATTAAAGTTAATGTAGGAGACGATGTGATCTATAATCGGTTCAAATAAAATCCCAGCTGCTGCCGGGAACTGAACCTCGTTCTTCAAACTGAATGAGCAATTTCACTGTAATGAAACATAATTTACGCTGACGTACAGAAAAGTGGACCTCAAACATGTTTTAATAACAATACGTGTTTTATCAATGAGGTCACTAGGTCTCATCTTGGCTTCGTTCACTCTTGTATGGGATGTACAATTTCAAAACCAAACCCCAAAATAATCACTAACAACGGTATATAAATGAACTCAGAAAAGAAAAACCCACCTCCCAACTCTCCCTCAACCTTAACTGTGGCAATTAAGTGTAGTTCGCCATAGTTGCTAGGCCGCTGATCTCGGTCGTTCTGTATACGACTGTTTCAAGGATTGATGGAATAAAGTCTTTCTGAAACTGCAGTACCCTAATGTTTTCACTTTAGGTAGTAGGGAACAGAAACACCCAAGAGTTTGTAGTTCTCTGCATTAATTTTGCGCGAGACTTCATCACAATTTAAACAAGATGTCAGTTTGGGGAACGAGGAGGCCGTGCTTTGGGGCAAATCTGACGGGGAAATTGCCTTCGAGAAATATCTCACTTTGCTAAGACTGTAAGCAACACTTACTGTTCTTTTAACACGGAGTAGATTAGAAATATAAATGAACTCAGAAAAGAAAAAATTATTGACTGCAAATGGGTTTATACCCGGTGGCAGTTCTTTGTAACAGACTAAATAAATGAAACAGTTTACATGTCTAACTAAATATTTCATTGTCTAAATGACTAATTATCTAAATATTTAACTTACGAACTAAATTATTTATCAGCATGCTAATTAGGTGATTAACTGACCGACTATGTAACTAGCTAAGTGAGAAAGCAACCGATTAACAAACTAATTAACGAAATATATATTATAAGATTATCTTCCTTGTGTAGTAACCTGTTATTCGGATGGTAAAAGAATTCCATCGTAACTGCAGCTTTAAAACATCATCGCAGAAGTTCATCAATGGATTCTGTTCCGTGGAATATTATTCCACATCGTCACAATATACACCAACTCCTCTAAGAAACATTTCGCCAGCATTTGTCTGTGTCTCAGAAGCCAACGAAAGGTCATACGGAGTTTAAACAGCTCGATAATTTATGGACATCCAGTATATTCAAATCACCTTCAGAAGTAAAATTGCTTCGAACTATTGACATAAATTTTCCACTTTTATTTTTGTCTTGAAAAGTTTTGAGTCCTGTCATAATTCATCCGGGCAGAAAAGAAATGATATGTGGGCCGTTGAGGATGTGAGGGGAGGGTCAGAACTGTGCTCCAGTCTGGAAATCATTATCCCGTACTAGTCAGTGGCGGTTTACAGGCCGTGTTCAGTGGTGTGTCGATTTTCTTTGCTAAGCTGCCCAGTGGATGTAATCTGTTTAATCAGAGATTGGCCTAATTTTCTATGTGCCTAATTTGATGACTGTCAGTCGCGTATTTGACGATGATTAATTAACTCAATAAGTTTATGTGCCGACAGATGCTGTTCTTAAGAAGATATTAGTCACTTACCTTGTCAAGAAACTTTTCACGATAAATGGGACTCGAAGGCTTGTTTCAGTGTTCACAATATCCCGTCTTTGGAGCCCACCCTGAGCCAGAGTAATGCATTCTACATACCCTATTTATTTAAAACGCATTTTTATCCTCGCATGCATAGATTTGTAAGATTTGAGGTTTTCAAAGCGGTGAGTATGAAGATTTCTGTTTTCTGGGTTGTTGCGCTGTGTAGTCTGATTCATCGTCCCGATGACGGAGGCAGTATGACCTCCGAAACGTTCGTAAACATCGACCAGACTACACAGCGCAACAACCCAGAAGACAGAAATCTTCATACTCATCGCCCTGATGATGGAGGCAGTATGACCTCTGAAACGTCCATCAATATCTGTCAGAATACACGGCGCAACATTTCAAAAGACAGCAAATTTCACTATTCGTTGCAGTGAAGGCTGACATCTCAGGAATAGTATTAATAATAGTAATGATAATAATGTCTGTTGTTGCCGGGGCTGGCCGCAGTGCGGCGCTCAGATCGTGCAGTGCAGCAAACGGAACAGCTGACGAGTTCCGGTCGAGTTCCGTGGCTTTTAACCCGGAAGTTACGTATATCTCTCAGACGTTCACTTGAAACGAATAAAAAATACAATCCTTCCAGAATACGGAACAGACGTCTCTTTCGTCAGATTTACGGTCGTGTAAATTTCCTGAGACCGCTGAGTGGTACCTTCAACCTAGGAAATGCCTGCTGCGCTAAACAGGGCAAAGATCTTATCAGCCTTGACCATGTTAATTAAAAAACAAGCTCTAAAATAAATAGTTACTTAACGAACGTTTATAAAAAGCTTGTGAAACTCTCCGTGGAGCTTCGTGTGTGTCAGTTCCATACCTGAAACGCAGATTTCATTATGGTGGAACTGAAATTCGTATTTCAGTGGTTAGCACTCCTGCTTCGTATTTGGGAGCTCCCGGGTTCACATCTCGGGCCGAAGACCTGTTATCCTGACTTAATGCTCGCTTCCTCCCACATTCTTTCTAATTCATTACTCACTGTCATCTGTTATCCTACGCTCTTTAGTCTAGATACAGAAATATTTGTTAAATAAACTATAAATCAATAATATGGTGGGCTATATCACAGCAACAGACTTCTCCGCTGAACGGTTTGTAATTTTATTTAAAAAATTCTAATTTCTTGATGTTAAATTAGCGTTTACTTACACCGATTGTTCGGGATTTATCTCCACGCGCCCTGAAAGTCTTTGTACTAAAGTCCTTAGGCAAAATTAAGTCGCATCGTTTCACTGTTTCTTATTTTATTCACATCGTCTGCGTTAAAACACATATTCGATCTCCTAATATTTTAGAAATTTATGATTATACTTAAAAACAGTAATTTAATCGAAACAGTTTATGACTGATATAACAATAATTGACATTAAAGATTATTCTTGGACACTAAAATTCGTGGTTTCCTTACGTCTAGTCCACAA